GCCGAGATGTGTGCATGCCCCCTCGTTGCCCACTGGCCCCTGGCATGTGGCGCGCGCGTCATCGTGGCCCGTGGCTTTGCTGCCTTCGCCGAACATGGCCAGTGGCACGTTGCCCAGCTGGCCCGGGTCACTCGGTCCGTGGTCCGCGGCACTCTGGCACGCACCCGGAGGAGAAGTAGGAGGAAGGGGAGGCGGAGGCGAAGGCGGAGGTGTGGGCGGAGGAGAAGGAGAAGGAGCAAGATGATGATGAGGAGGAGGAGGAGGAGGAGCAGGAGGAGGACGCACGCTCCGTCTCCACGTCAGGACCCGCGCCAGGGTGTCGCGCGGCTCGAGGCCCCGTGTGCGGTCCTCTCGCGGTTCGGCCGCGCCCCTCCTCGTGGTGGCGCACGGCGGCCCTCGCCCCGACGGCCCCCTGTCACCTCCCATCCCGCTGGGGATTTTCCGGCGACTTTGCGGTGGCGACGAGGGCCCCGAGGTCGCGAAAACAACCTCAAGGAAAACAACTTCTTCAACAAAGAGAAAAAGTTCGACACTGTCAGAAACTCTGGGAGACCCGCGCGACCTTTGCAAGTTCATGCTCACGTCTCGGAGCAGGGCGACTTGACGCCACGGCAGCCTGGGCTCGGTCCCTGGACACCCCCGCCCGGGGACCAAGGGCACCAATCCCACCAGCCTTCTGGGCGTCGGTGGTTTAGGGAGTTTCCTCTTCCATCCCTCCTTCCCCTTCGGGGAAGGGTTTATCACTGTTCCCTGTTAATAAACACCCCCTCCCCCAGGCGACTGGGGGCCAACCCGAGTCCATGACGACACCCCCCACCATCCCTTGTAAAAAACAATACAAAACACACTCTGCCTTCAAATTCGAAACATTCGCAGCCAGCCCGATGCGGCCCCCCCCACACCATCCTTGTCAAAAAACAATACACAATACACTTGGCGGCGCCGGCGGCTGCGGCGGCTGCGGCGGCGGTGGCGGCGGCTGCGGCGGCTGCGGCGGCGGCGGCGGCGGCGGCGGGGGCGGCGGCGGGGCGGCCGGCGGCGGCGGCGGCTGTCCGGCGGCGGCGGCCGGTGGCGTGGCGGCAGGGCTGCGGCGGCGGCGGCGGCGGTTTACCAGCGGGGGGCGGCGGCGGCGGCGGCAGCGGCGGCGGCGGCCGCGCCCGGCGCCGGCGGGCGCGGGGCGGCGGCGGCGGGCGGCGGCGGCGGCGGCGGCGGCGGCGGCGCGGCGGCGGCGGCGGCAGCGGCGGGGGCAGCGGCGGCGGCGGCGGTGGCGGCGGCGGCGGCCGCGGCGGCGGCGGCCGCGGCGGCGACGGCGGCGGCGGCGGCGGCGGCGGGCGGCGCGGTGGCGGCGGCGGCAGCGGATTGGTCCCCAGTAGCTGCCCATCCAAAGACGACTGCTGACTATGCTGAGGCTAGGGTCAGGCTCGGGTGCTGCGTATGTGTTGGGAGGGCGGGTGGGAGTGAGCGAGACGACTTGCGGGCGGGGAGGGGGTCTTGACCCCTCCCCCTACCCCCTCCCCATGGACCTGGACAGGGGGTGTCGCGAGTCGTCGAACGTCCAAAACGGCCTCGGCGAGGAAGCCAAAATCACGGGTTTTACCAAGGTTTTGGCCCCATGTTGGCCTCCTGGGGGGGGGGGCCCTACTTGAAGCTCCCCTTTTGTTTAATCGATTTCCTCCCAGATGGCCCCAAGAAGCGCCCAGAAGGCCCGAAGAGGTCCCAAGATGGCCCCAAGATGGCCCCACGAGGCCCCCAAGAGGCCCTCAGGAGGCCCACAAGACACCCCCAAGAAGCCCCAAGAGACCCCCCAGAGGCACCCAAGATGCTCCAACAGGCCTCGGCGAGAATGCCAAACCATTGATTTTACAAAGGTTTTAGCCACATGTTGGCCTCTTGGGGGGGGCACTGAATAAGATAACTCCAAGAGCGCCTGGGAGAGCCAAAAATGACCTCCAAGATGGCTCAAGACATCCCAAGATGTCTCATAATCGTTTCCTCTGCGTGCTGCCCACTTCCCTGATCGAGGCAATTCCTCTGGGCATCGTTTCTGGATGAGCTGGTGGGGATTCTTTTGTCGCAACCGCAAGCGAGGGCGCCAGCGGCGAGTGAGGTCCGAGCGGGCCGCGCAAGAGCCGAATTGCCTAACGCCGACGGCCGGCGACCTCAGCAGCGCCTCGGCGGGCGCGCCGGCGAGAGGGGGAAATGCAGGCTGGCTGGTGGGGATTCGCGAAGCGTCAGCAATTTTCCGAGCTGCGTCCAGCCATGGCGACGAGGACGCCCCCGAAGGCCAACTACCGTTACACCTTGAGATCAGACGTTGCGAACAAACATTCAACATCGCAAGAACCAAATATCTCGACCAGAGCCCTGAAGCCCATCTCTCTTTCTGCCACCTTTTCCAGCCGCACCGATCTGTGATGGTCCCGGGGCAGGAAGCGAGGCAAAAACGCCCGAGGCGCCCGCTGCCTCAACTTCCAAGGGCCACACGCCCTCCCGCTGAGCATTCTCTGGCTGCCTTGCGGTGCGGACCTGGTGCGCGGGCCGTTCGAACACGTGAGGCCGAAATAGACTCTGGTTCCGCCCCTAGGCTGTGAGTGTGCGTCTGCAGAGAAAACATACACGGTCCATTGCGCATGGATTTTTTCCTTCGAACGACAACAAGCTCCGCGCAGCCTCTGGGAGACGACTGCGGGTCCGATACGCGTGACCCTGGGCAGACTGCTCTCCACATGAGCGGGCAGTGTAGCGCCTCCTATGTGCACTATTGAGTCCACGACCGAGCCTCTGTTCTGTCGAGGCGCGCTGGGTGCAACCCTGAGTCCGAGAACATTTCCACCTCTTGGGGCGAGACAACACTCTGGAGAATCGGCAAGAGTGCAAATTTAAAGAAAAATGAAGGTACACGAGCGTATGGCTGGCGACATGCTTCGGCACGATCAACCACTCGAGACGCCATCGCCCGTGTCGCAAAAACAACTTCTTCAAGGGAATATATATATATATACAAAGAACAAGTTCTACACTGTCATAAACTCTGGGAGACCCGCGCGACCTTTGCAAGTTTATGCTCACGTCTCGGAGCAGGGCGAATTGACACAACGACAGCTCGGACTCGGTGCCTGGACACCCCCGCCCGGGGACCAAGCGCACCGATGTTCCGAGCTGCGTCAAGCCGTGGCGACGAGGGAGCCCCCGAAGGCCAACTACCGTTGCACCCTCAGATCAGACGTTGCGAACAAACATTGAACATCGCAAGAACCAAATATCTCGACCAGAGCCCTGAAGCCCATCTCTCTTTCTGCCACCTTTTCCAGCCGCACCGATCTGTGATGGTCCCGGGGCAGGAAGCGAGGCAAAAACGCCCGAGGCGCCAGTTGCCTCAACTTCCAAGGGCCACCCGCCCTCCCGCTGGGGATTCTCTGGCTACCTTGCGGTGCGGACCTGGTGCTCGTTCCGTTTGACTCTGGTTCCGCCCCTAGGCTGCGATTGTACGTCTGCAGAGAAAACATACACGGTCCATTGCGCATGAACTTGCTCCCTTCGGACGACAACAAGCTCCGCGCAGCCTCTGGGAGACGACTGCGGGCTAAGCGTGACCCAGGGGAGACTGCTCTCCACATGAGCGGGCAGTGTAGCACCTCCGATGTGCACTATTGAAACAATTCCCTACCGAGCCTCTGTTCTGTCGAGGCGCGCTGGGTGCAACCCTGAGTCCAAGAACATTTCCACCTCTTGGGGTGAGACAGCACTCTAGGGAATCGGCATGAGTGCAAATTTAAAGAAAAATGAAGGCACACGAGCATATGGCTGGCGACATGCTTCGGCACGATCAACCATTCAAGACGCCATCGCCCGTGTCGCGAAAACAACTTCTTTAGGGAAATATGTACAAGAACAAATACCTACACAGTCATGAACTCTGGGAGACCGGGACGCCTTCGCAAGTTTAGGATTACGTCTCGGAGCAGGGCGAATTTGTGATAGTCCCAGGACCCGAAGCGAGGCAAAACGCCCGAGGTGCCCGTTGCCTCAACTCCCAAGGCAGCGCTAACGGCAATGTTGGTCAATGGCGATGTTGGGAATCTGGTTTTGGCGACGCCGAACTCGCGCAGAACAAGTTGAAGGAGAGTACTGTCAAGCCTTTCCTGTACTTGGTTCGGCCACGAGCCACCCCCCTCTACAAATACCGAAACCTCATTCGCCGTCACCTGCATCGCCGTTGGCGTGTGTACGGAGCTTGTCCTCTTCGGAGCGTCCTTGTGTATGAGTCGACAACGATCAATGAATGCTTTCCCCTGCTGTACCCAGTGAAGGTACGTGAGACGGGATAAAAAAGGCTCGCCGAGGACTTTGCCGACCCTCGGTGTGAACTCGCTGGCTAAGCTTGCTTGATCGTTGCCGGTGATCGTTGTCATCGTCGTGATCGCTCTTGCCCTCGTCGCCGTCGCTGCCGTCGCTGTCACCGTTGCGATCGTTGCTGCCGTCGTGATCGCGGGGATCCTCGTCACCGCTGCCGTCGTTGTGCTCGCGGTGCTCGCCGTGATCGTCGTCGCCCTCCGGCAGCTGCGCCGAGACCCCCGGGGGACCCGCGCGCGCGCGGGGGGGAGCTCCTACTCCCGCGCCCCGCGCCGCGGGGCGAGGCGCCGCCGCCTCTCGGCAGGCGCCGCGCCCGGCGCCCGCTCCCCGCGCCCGCCCGGGGAGGTCGGGCGCGCCGGGGCTCTCCGCCAGCGGCGGAGCAAAAGAAGACACCCACAGAGAGGAGGGCGTCGAGCAGGGCTCGACGCCGAAGAGTGGTCTCCGTTGCCGTTCCGTTCCCGACAGCCCCGCGGTGTTGGGTCCTCCTTCTGGGGCGACGGCGCCCCGCGTCTCCTCCCCCCCTCCTCCTCCCTCCTCCCCCTCCTTGCCCGAAGGCGATCCCCCGAAGGCGATAGTCACAATGACGGGACTCACAACTGCATATGGCTGGGTCCTTCGCCAGGATACTTCTCGTTGTCCCTCGTTCT